GGGTGCCGGCACCGAGAACGGGACGGATACCTACTTCCTAGGCAACATCACCACCACGATGGAAAAGGACAAGAGAAACATCACGCATGTGTTGAGCTTTAGTCACCCGGAGCAGAATTTCACGAATGGAGGCAGCGAGATGAAACCGGTTGTTGCCGCGAGAGCATGGATCAACAATGCGATCCCGCTGCAGAAGATGGGTGTCAAGGTCGGATTGCCGATTGTTGGGGACCCCTATTCCTGGGTGGACCCTTTTCTGAAGAACTGTTCCGCCCTGCTGGCCAAGGAGAAGGGGGAAGACAAGGACTCGAGGTGCACGTTCGACTTTATGCCGATTACGTCGTATGGGAACTTTAGCGTGCTGAAGAGTCGGGTCGACCTGTTTGCGAATGCGTGAGTTTCATTCACCTTCTCTCTCTCTCTCCAGCTATCACCGATCCCGCTGACGATGGGTGTCCGACAGGTTCCCTGACATTCCCGTCTGGGTTGTCGAGTACGGCTACAACGACCAGGACCTCGCCACGACCCAAAAGTTCTTCAACGAATCCCTTCCTTACCTCGACAGCACCGACATTGTTGAGCGATACGCCTGGTTCGGGGCGTTCCGCAGCATTGTGTCCAACGTCGGGCCCAACGGCGCCATGCTGGACCCGTACGGCGATTTGACCGATATTGGGTCCTGGTACCTGGGAGGGAACGGGACAGGTAACGAGGCTCTGCCCACCGATACACCGGGTAACAGCTCGTGCACAGCGGCGAACCCTTGCGGCAAGAATGCCGGGACCACACTGAGAAGCGACGTTGATCTATTGGTATGGAAAGGGGTCTTTGTGTCATGTCTCTTTGCGTTGTTGTTATAATTGGACAGCTTCCATTGTCAAGCCGCCAAACCTCCAAGTAATGATAATATGTCATGCCTCCGTGGTATAGATTTTCCCCAGATCCGTCAGTCGTCCCTTATCATCCAACATGCGTGCCCACTTGCCAACCGTGCCTGTATCCCTCATCGCCCCGAACCACGCATACCTCTCAACCCAGTCGAGCGTGTCAAGATACTTGCAAGCTTCCCTGCAAAAGTTTTCAACATGCTCTTTCGGCAACGGGTTGTCCACGTTCCAGTTGGTGGGCGCGAACTCGGTGATCCACGCCGGTTTGTCGGCACCCAGCTGGTGGTACGTACTCCAAATATAATCATAGAACTGACCCAGTTCCTCGCCGTACCAGTGCAACCCATAGAAATCAACGTCTCCGCCCCGCGCGCGGATTACTGACAAAAACTCTTTGAGCCAGACAACTCCCTGGGGAGCAGAAGAGATGCCCGGGCTGCCGCAGCGGATACCAGCCCGACGGAGCGGTTCCATGTGTTGCAGCCATTGCTCGGCGGCGAGGGAGACAGGCATGTTGGACTGCGAAGGGAGTTCTGGCTCATTGAAGCCCAGTATGGCGGGACGACCATGGCAGTGGGAGTTGAGGGCGGAAATGTTGACGTGGTTCCATTGCATCGGGACGAACTGCAGAGACTGCGTGCCTGGAGTTGGCTGCGGTGACCAGTTGTACAGCCATGACACTTTGGACCCGGGCTTGGTGAAGATGAATGGCGCATCCGTATTGGATGTGGGCCAACACAGTCCGCGCTTGCTGCAAGGCGTCATATTAGATTTTCTGTTGTTGCTGTCGACTGGACTGGCTGTCTGGTTCGGAAAGATGGGATGACGTACTCTCCGGTTTTGTGGATGCAGCGCTGAGATTGCGAAGGCCCGGATTACCGGGTCCGGGATCAGAGACAGAATTACCTGCACAATGCTTCAAACCCATTAAGTGGTCGCTCGTCATCAAGAATATGAATCACGTTGCCCCGTTCGCAAAGTAGGCCAGAATTGTAAAAGGAAGACATGTCCTAATTGAGGTGAGGGTGAGTAAATTCATAGCCAGTGACTTTGAGGCCGTCACATATCCAATCAAAAGCCTGCGTCAGTGGTTTAGTGGTAAAATCCATCGTTGCCATCGATGGGCCCCGCGTTCGATTCGCGGCTGACGCAAAACTTTCTCTTTTGGTTTTTTCTCCCTAAGAACTTGCGTTTTACTTGGTATTGTAGAGTTCAGTGACTTTCTCCTCTTGTTTGCAGCGCCCTTTTTTCGTGTTAATTAGATCGGTGAAAAGTCCAACTTTGTTGTTTGGTCGCAGATAAGCGCCGTGGATGTGCGATAAGCTTTGGTGACTAAGCCGAATTTCCCACTGAGCTGGGCAGCTGCCGGGCCACGTTGACAGGAGTGAAGCTCGGTGAAGCTCCAAAACACTCTCGGATCTGACACATGCAAGCAAGCTTTCGTCCATCAAGACACCAATTCGGACGGCGCAAAGATGCACTGGTCAGGGCAGGGCCTTGAAGTTTAAAAGAATTATCTTGGATTGACACACCTCCGGACTGCGCACCCACCGCAGGTGCATTCCTCAACTCAACCCGACAAATCGAGATGGCGCTCTCCCGTGTACAGCAATTGCTTCTGATCGCATTCACTTTGGCGGCTCCGGCGCTGGCCTACATCCACGAGAATGCCTTGCCTTCATACCACTACAGCGCACCAATTCGTGTCGAGTGCATGAACCGGAGCTCGTGAGTCTTCTTTTCCAGTGCGCATCATCGATCTGTTCTGACCAAAAACAGAGAAACCGGCGAACACATCGAGGACGCATCCACCCACGAAATCGAATGGATTCCCTTCCCGGTCTGCAACGAGACGGGCCAACCGCTCGAGTTCCACTACGGCATCGAAGGCGAGCAGAACTGCACGATCCCCGAGATCAGCGACCCCTTCTTCCACCTGCTCGAGTTCTACATCCACAGCGACGCGCCCCTTTCCTGTCGCCTGCCCTCGCGACCACCTCCCCACGTCGAGACCGTCGGCGAGAAACCGTATGACACGGAATACATACCGCTGGTGTTTGCCCTAGCCGGCACGCTCCAGCTTAGCCACATGCACATCAGCACCCACATGAACGTGCTGCTGCACAGCACGCCCAAACATCACATCCACCCGCACGACAGCGGCGTGCTCGACAGCGGCACCGCCTACTCGACGAGCCCGCTGACGCACATGGAGGGCAGCGCGACCAAGCGGCTCGTGATTGGAGACCCGCTGCCGCTGAGCTTTTCTGTGAGGTGGTTCCCGACGCCTGCGCTGCCCATGGTCGAGGGCAGGGTGGAGTGGAACGGGATGGGCGGCCACATCTTTGCCAGTACTGTGTTTTATAGTCTGGTGTCGTTTATGGCCGGTGCCGTGGTGTCGGGCGTCTACTTCTTTGGGTCGGTGCTGCCCAGACGACTGAGAGGACGGGGGCTTGGGGGTGCCACGCCCTTGGCGTACGGGTTGAATGGTATGGGCAATGGCTGGGGATACCAGAAGAGGGCGATGGATTAATGACAACATGGAATGAGATGGGAAGAATATGTCATGATGTTTGGAGGAATGAATCTTAAATGGGGCATATTGCGGCGCGGGTATCCGTCGCTCTCTGTACACTTTTAATTCGCAACGATAACAATGGCTTGGGATCTGTAGGATTATCTGGGATTCACAGACTACCTATATAATGTCACGGAGACAGTTGGAGACCCTTTCCACCATGGCCCGTCACGTTGTCTACCTACTGCACCTTCTTCCCTGCCAGAGCAGCATCCGCCACCCGGATTCGCGACAGGATCCGCGAAGCCATGTCGATAAAGACGAGAGTCGCTGCTTGCATCGTTAGATATAATCCCTTCTAGCCTTCCCCGTCATTCATGACAGCAGTGCAACTTACGAATAACAAACCATGGCCCAAAGAAGTTGACCTGAAAGGTCCGCTTCACCTCGGCCGAGTACACGGCATCATCCCAGTAGAAACTGTCGTGAATGCACACGAGCGTGGTGAGCGCCGTCTCGAAGCCATAGAGCAGAAACAGCAGCTCGTCGGCGCCCGATGTGCCCGTACGCTTCACACCGAACCGGTACAGCGCGTAGAGCACGGTCGGCAGCGTGAAGGCGAACTCGAGGTACAGGAACAGGCCCATCCAGCTGTCGTGGCCCGACGCCGTCTCGCGCGACCACTGCACGATCGGGTCATTGTACTTCGCGATATGTTCCTTCTGGACGGTGGCGAAGAGGTGAAGAGGCGCACCCGGCGACTCGTGAAGCCATTTGGGGTAGAACTCGAGTGCATCGATGACTGCGCGCAGCTGTTAGCTTGCCGTTTAAGTCTTGGAGTACGTCGGGGCATCAGAGCTTACGGAGGATGATGGGAACCTGGATGGTGAACCACACCAGCCAGACATTGTTCCTCCACGTCTTTGTGTATGTCGTCATCGTGGTTTCTCCCGGGGCTGATGTTGATGTATAGGGTAGTTGCTTTGCTCGAACAGAGCTTCGATGCGAAAGCGGACTTGGTTCCACGGCGCGGTCAATTATCAAGACGCGAAGTCAGCTTCAGCTTCAGCTGTCCGTGCAACCCCTGCGGCTGCTGTCAGCATCGTCAGCATGCGCCGGCCAAACCCATCTGCTTGCTTCGTGCAAATGCATTCGAAAGGAAACTGCGCACCTTGAAAGAAAACACGTTTCTACTTTAACAGTTAGCGAGTACAAGGGGTCGTGTCCGATTTCTCAATAGCGTGTGCTCAGTGTTGACACCCCTCGCCGAGTTCAGGGGTTCCCCCGCCGCGACGGCACACTGATCAAGCGCAGTCAAGTTGGAGTTGGTCAACAACTTGCAAGGCCGCAGAGTCAAGAAAAAGCCCAAACAAAATTTGAGATCTCCTTTTCTTAAATATCGAGGGTTCATCCAGCTTAGCTCAATCTTTGTAGCTCAATCTTTGTAGCTCAATCTTTGTCGCCCGCTGGGTCACCCCACCTCGTCGGATCCAGATTCGACAGGAATCTCCGAGCAAGGATCGTGAAGCTGTTGTCCCGGCTGCTCCACCCAACTCCATTCAAGTAACATCATGACGTGTAAATTTTTCATTTAAGGTGAGATGGCCGAGCGGTCTAAGGCGCTACGTTAAGGAAATCACCCTTAATCCAATATCCGTAGTCCGAAAGGGCGTGGGTTCGAATCCCACTCTCATCAATGATTTATCTTTTTGCTCATTTCTGCTCTGATGGTTAAGGCTATTTTCATTTTCCCCTTCCGAAATGGACTTGAGCTCTTGGTGGGTTTCAAGCCGTCTGCGGCCGGATCCATGGAAAGGGCGGCCTTACGGTTACCAGGTTTGTCATTGTACATTCTCTCTCAGGAAGAACTGGGAGCATTTCTGTCTTGGAAGGTCCAGGGCCCAGGGCTTTCCCAACTGACTGAACATTGACACTTGCAATTCATATATTACCCCGAAAGATCCTCAGCCACACAGGGTGGTTTAAAACTTACCACAATTATGCAATATGACATAATGAGGGCTCCCTCTCTACTCTAAAGGTGAGCATAAGTTACCCTTCACCGAGAGCATGTATGACCCTGCTCTGCGACGGCACCTAGCGTGGCGACGAAACAAGTACACATACCAGCTTTATTCCCTTGCACAGCTCTTCCAGGTTGATGGGAAGGATAATCCAAACACCACTGAAGCACGCTTCCAAGCCGAAATCCCTACTCGTACAGTCTCTATGTCCCTAGATCGACAAATCCATCTGCGTTTTCACGGTCACAGCGTAGGTCTCGGCGGCACTTTGCATGACTATTCTTTGAATGGTGTCACTGGTTAGGATCTTGCAGCAGCAGTTATATCGAGACACCGTCGACAAATACACCACACCACAGGATCTGACCATTTGGCATCCGCCAGGCAGGGAGCTTAAATGGTCCGTTGTGTGGCAGGCATTATCGATATTTCCGGACTAGTCCGTCGCGATAACCTCACCTCCACCGAGAGGTCCGAGAATAACCTGCTCTGTCATAAGGTTTACCGCATGTACCGATCCAAGAAGTCAGGATGAGATCAACCATCCACCCAGCTTCCACTCCAGGGCATTCAGTGCTGCAGGTTCTGGCCCCTCATCGGCCATGATCTTCCCATAGACACACAAGTATCTCATGTCTCTCAATATGGTCGAATTCGCACTCCCTGCCCAATGCAGTCAGTCGCCTCTGCCTGCCGACTTAACTACCTATCCAATCATATTCTCTATCGACGATCGAAACTCCATGTACATAGATCGGGCTCGGATTTGAACCATCACGTTCGGATTTTTAGAGGTTATAATCTCTATACCTAACCGGACTTTATCGAAAAGTCCGTTCTTCTCCGAGCCCTACGGCTCCTGCGAATATAAATCCTAAACTAACAGCAAAACTAGGTATTAAAAAGGAATGAAAAAATATTCTGGAGACGGCCGCTATCCCCGTCACGGGACGGTGGTAAACTAGTGGAGGTTTAGTTATAGCAGAATGCAGATGTGCGATGCTAGCGATGCAACCGTGGGGTGGCGTGATAACACACCACCGCTTGCGGCACGCCCTGATATCAACGGCATTGAATGCCCAGCTTATAAAGACGACCACCAGATGCACCAGCGAAATCCAATATCCCCGCATCTTCAAACTTGTACACTGACACAACCAATTGAACAAAGACCACAGCATTCTCATTCTCAGACAACCAAATTCGCGATGGTCAGCCTCACCGAGGTCAAAGCAGCCAATGCATCACTCCACTCCACTGCTCCCCCGGGCCTGGTGTCAGTAGTAGTCGGCGGCACGAACGGCATCGGCAAAGGTTTTCTCTACGAGCTAGCCAAACACACCAGCAACCCCAAGATCTACATCGTCGGCCGCAACGAGGCCACCCTCGGCAAGATCATCCAAGACCTGAAGGATGTCAACCTCACAGGCACCTACATCCCCATCTTGGCCAGCGATTTGACGCTCGTCTCCGTCGTCCGCAAAACAACAGCGCAAATCATCACCCAAGAGAAAAAAATCGACCTCCTCTTTCTCTCGCAGGGCTATCTCACCTTATCGGGGCGCGACGAATCCCCCGAAGGTCTCGACCGGATCTCAACGATCCGCTACTACGGGCGGATGCGCTTCATCCTGGACCTGCTCCCACTCTTGGAGGCTGCCCCATCTCCGCGCGTAGTGTCGGTGTTGGCCGCAGGCACAGAAGGAACCATCTACCCAGACGACTTGGGCCTAAAACAGCCGAATCACCACGGAGCCATCGTGCAAACTGCCGCCGCGGTGACTTACACGACACTCTTTCTCGAACAGCTGGCCAAACTGCACCCGAAAGTCGGTTTCTGTCACACGCATCCCGGGATCGTCAGGACAAACATCTTCAACAACGCAAAGTTCAATCCCGTGTTCAAGTTCTTTGTGGTGTGGATCCTCGCACCAACGGTCATGAGGCTGATTTCTATCTCTGCGGAGGAGGCGGGAACGAGGCAGTTGTACGTGGCGACGAGCCCGGCTTTTGTGTCTGCTGCCGAGGGCGCGAGCAGCAGAACTGAGGACGCACTATCCAAACTGGCTCTGGGGACAGATGGAAAAAGGGGCAGTGGTGCGTATATGGTTGGGCAAAAGTGTCAGGCGGTGCAGAAGCAAGAGCTGTTGCAGCGATATAGGGATGATGGTGTGGATAAGAAACTCTGGAAGCATACAGTTGGGGAGTTGGATAGGATCTTGGGAAGTGGGCAATGAGGAATTGTTGCTGTCAGTGCGGGTTCGTCGGAGCTGAGATTCCTTTCTGATAGCGGTCGCTCCATTGCTTTCGTCCCATTCTTGTTCAGGTATTGTCAGACGTCCAATTCCCAAAGCAGTGTGCATCCACATGTCCCAGTTCATCGCAGAGCAGCGTTAAAACATAATACTGTACAAGACATAACAGAGAAACCCTTATTTCCATGTCGACCGTTCCGTCAGTCGAACAACCCTCTCGCGAACATTTCAAGTCTGCAGTACTGATGCAGCTACTACTCATTATCCATCCCCTCCCGCAAAATAGCAACCTGTTTCTGAATCTCGACCCACAGCGCATTGTTCTTCAAGTCATCACCGCCGCCACCACGCTTCTTCCTAGGGGGCGCAAGCTCAACCCAGTCCATGTCTTCATCCTCCACAACCCCGGAACCATCTGTGCCGCCTCGGGCGATTGCCAACAGCGCCGCCACAAAAGCCTCCTGGATATACGCAAAGCTGAATTTGTCGGTGATGTTGGCGATGGCCTTGCACAGCTCGTCGGGAAAGTCAATGTCCTTGTTGTCGGCGAGTTTCTCCTGCCAGAACTTGGCATACGCAATGCGCTGGTCGACATCAGGATTCGGAAATAAGTACTTTCTGTCAAATCGGGATGGGCGCTTCGAGATGCCTGGATCAAGGCGGTCGAGGTGGTTGGTGCTGCCAATCATGAAGATTCCGTCGTTGCCCTTGAGACCGTCGACTTCGTTCAGGAAGTAGCTCCGCACAGAGTCGGCCACGATGGAATCGAGATCCTCGAATATCAGGTAGCAGGGTGCAAGCTGTCTTGCCTTGCTAAAGATTTGGTTGATGGCGTATTCGGGGCCGGCCCACTACGAATTCGACATTAGCTCAATCCAGAGAGTGAGGGCAGAAGCATGGAACTTACAGAAAAGAAGCTCCGCACATAAAGCGCCGGAACAGGATCATCTCTGCCGTACAGGGTATGCATCATAGCCTTGATGGAAATAGTCTTGCCGTTACCGGGCGGGCCATAGTAGATAACCCCACGCTTCCACGGCACCTTGAGCTTCTTGTACGTCTCCTGCGAGTTATAAAACGACAGATGATCATCAACAATAGCCTTCTTCATCTCAGGATCAAGAATTACAGCATCCCACGACGCCTTCCTGACGCTGTCGTACAGCTCAGCGCTCTTCTGCCAGTAGCCGCCGTCCCAGACCCAGATCTCGTCGTGCAGCTCGTTGGCCCACTTGCCGGCGGCAATTATAAGGGAATCGGCCTTGTGCACATCTGTAGTCAGGATATAATTGTTGCGAACAGGCGGGTAGGCCATCACGCCGTCGCGGCCGTCGACCACATAGACCACGAACTCGGCGCCGTCCCATTTGTACAGGAATTTGGCAAACACCACGTCCTGCACCAGGACTCCGGGAGACCCGTCGATCCGCCGCGCGGGCGGAATGTAGCCTTTCCAGATCAGCGAGGGCGGGAGACCGGGCCCGGCGTCGTCGATGGTGGTGAAGCTTGCATGGCCGGCGGATGCGAACCCAATGAGGTCAACGCTGTTGGCGGGCGAGGTGACCAGCTCGAGGTTGGGATATTGCTTCTTGAGGGTCTTGGCGATCACGGCGTCGGTGTTGATGCGCTTGGCTGTGCTGTGGTGGAAGAACTGTCGCGTGGTTTCGTCGACCTCGGGCTCGGCAGCAGCCTGTGATTGAGGCGCCGTTGTCCAAAATGGAGCTGCCATGTTTGCAGAATCTGGTGATTTGAGCAGATGAGGTTGGGGGGTGGATGGTGACGAAGGTGGGGTGAGCTTCAGTTGCTTTGGGGTACAGAGGGGAAAGGGGAGGGAAAGAGGGGAGCTCTCCTTCCACGAAAGTCAGCTGAATCCGAATCTGGAAGCTGACGTGGAGCTCTCAGGCAGCACAATTGAATGTGCAGGAACGGACGGGGTTGGTAATGGCTGTGGGGTAAGGTTGGTGGTAGGGCCAAGGATCATGATACCATTTGCTTGCCAGTGCTTGCGTGGAAGGAGGCTGTGCCGCCCGTCAGAAGTGGAACTTCTTCCATGGCTCGTATTAGACTGTGTGAGGTTACCATTCGATGCATCGGATGCATTGGATGCCAAGATCGGAAACTACAGGTTTACCATTACGAGAATTCAGTCTTGAAATCCATTTGGGTCTTCGAGACATGACCAATCAATTTGTTTGATATCTCCTAGACCTCTACCATTTTATCGGTGCGACTACACTACGACCTGTGGCTGTCTTGTCCTTCCTAAGACCAACTCGAAGAACCTCCATCAAGCCAACAAACTCTCTTCTCTCAATGGCATCAACCCATTGTTCAATCCTTCTCAGATAGAAACCGGCACCGCACCGAGTCACCGCGCCGAGAAAGTCGGCCTTGAGTGCACCCTCTGTAACCTCCAT